CCACTGTTGGAGAGTCATGGTCCATTGCTGAAGATGCACATTGACCTACAGGGGCGGATTTAGGGGGGCAGGGTTCCCGCCCCCCTTTTAGTGGGAAAAAATTGGTTGATAATTTAGGGACCACTGAAGCATGACTGGAGGGGCCCCCCTCTTATGGCAGTCAGTGCCCCCCCCCCCCCCTTATGAACATTTCTGGATCCACCACTGACGTAGATGAGCGACACGGGCTCTTCAGAGCCCCTCGTTTACAAATGTATTCTACACGACTGCAAGACTATTTTACTGAATAGTCATATAAACATCCTAATTTACGTTTACCATCTTATTTGATTTGATTTGATAAGTTGATCAGTGTTCTCGTAGTAAATACAACAACTATATATACATTCATATAAAGGAGGGTCTGGATGGGATTTACAGAATAGAGAATAATGGAAAAAATGTATAGAATAAAGAGTAAAAAATGTAAAGAATAGTCAAAAATAGGACAAAAAAAGAATAGAGAATAATGAGCAAAATTTATAAAGAATAGAGAAAAATTGCTTACAAAATTAAAGAATACAGAATTGAAAGCCCCCTCATCCAGACCCTCATATAGTATTGAATCAACCATATTTCTACATTGTCTACAGCTACAGCAACGCTAGCAAGTGGACACCAGCGAATCCGTTACGTAATTTCATTGTTGTAATCATCTAAAATCAATTTGAGTTTTTCTATACTTTACTTAACATAAAATATTTCCATCAGTGTCAATAGACACTGTATTAAGATCTTACTGTTAGAATTTCTCGTTGTTATCTTTATACCAACACGTATTACTTTTCCTTTCCTGTTGTTCATTTTCGTATCATTGGCTCCATCTTATTGAGTGTACATTTCTCATTTAGTCCGATATGCGCGTGTTTGTATAGTCGAAAAGATCCGATTTCAATGAACATAATGGTTACCGCGATTACTGAAAAAAAAACTATTACAGCAGAGATATGTATATATATATATATATAAGTCTAAATTGAAAACAACGTTCAAACCTATATATATATATATATGATTGCGTTGGATAAAAACCGCAATTTTTATACGTGTGCATGCAAAACAAATTTCTTGGTAGAGGGGTATATATATATATAAACAAGTCTAAATTGAAAACAACGTTCAATATATATATAACAAGTCTAAAAGGGTACAACATCACCAAAAAATAATTAAATCATGAACAAATTTTAGATATTTCGGATAACTAATATCCTTCATCAGTAAGATGTAAAATGAATCTTATCTTGACATGTGGTAGTCAAACTGAAATAAAAATCTTGAATGCTATACAAATTATCAATAATCAATACGCTGGTAATTTTTTTTTCAATATTGATGTTTGGGAGGAGGAATAAATTTCTTAAAAATTGTAAGAGTCCAAAACGGAAGCCTGAGTTATTGGAATCAAGTGATGGTAGGAAAAATGAGTGACACATTCTATGTTTTTTCATTTATGCCTTCTGGGGAAACTGTCCTAAGCTTTCTTATTCAAAACCTTTCCCGAGCAAGTCTATCGGTCCTTGACCAACCCTCGTTGTGGTCTATGATAGTGATGGTAAGGTTTTTGAGATCAGCTTGGGCGTGCCCAGGTGATCTCAAATGACGACTTACGGGGAGGTCGGGCTTGCAGGTGTAGACACTTCGATGACCATTCATGCGTTTGTTGAATGGCTGTTCTGTCTCGCCAACATACTGCATGCCACATCGACACTGAAGAAGGTATACAACATTCTGGGTTTTGCAAGTTACATTGCAAAATATAGTGTACACAGACCCAGTGGAGTGGCAAGTAAATGTTTGAGTATTCAGTATTTGTTGGCAGGCCAGACATCGTCTGTTACCACACGACTTGCACCATCCCGCAGTTGAACAGCTTTTATTAGAGGAGACATCAGCTCTCACAAACTTAAGTCTTTCAGACTTGCTGGTCTCCGAAAAGCTAAGACAGGAGGTTTGGGAAAGATCTTGGATAATTTAGGGTGCTTGGCAAAAGTTTGCCAATTGGCATGGATCAAACGTGAAAGGTTAGTAAAGGCGTAACAACATCATTTTTTATCACGAATATAGAGAAGTATGATTTCAACTGCATATGCAGGGATTTGGTAAAAATTTCATAAAAAAAAAGTATTTCACGTCGATCTCTTCAATGAACCTTATATTTGCATTGCTAAATGAAGAATTTTACAGCAGACATATGGATATCATAGATTCGTCAGGTCTTTTCTAAATATTATCACAAATATTGAGATTTATTGTGGAAGTATGATCTGATGAAATAAGTACAATCTGATAACGAGGCTTGAACACAGGATCTGTATTCTAATCAGATTTAAAACGGTATAAATAACGGTAATATGTCACACCCATATTTTTACGGCAAGTGCATGTTATTTTTTAAAATAAAAAATGTGTGAAGTCCTTGAATCTTTCTTTTTTATGCTTGATATGCTATTATGGATAAAGTTATAAACATACTGCTTTTGTTAATCAATGTGTCTGGTGGTTTTATGTATAAATGAACACCAATTCGCTAATGTTAAAGCAATACTATAGTATAATGTCCCGTTTGTATTCTATACTGTACTTGTTCTAGGCATTGCACAAGGTCGTGTCTTTTTTAAACTGTTAAAATTAAATTAAAATTATTTGAAAATTTTAAAGACTATTCTGAAGAACAACCACCAATATTAGAATGTAGGACGACATGGTTTCATATTACTGAATTTGGTGTGCCTTTTAGTACAAGCGACGGCTACAGATTTAAAAAAAGGGGGAGGCGGAGATGCTCATAAAAAATGCCTTTAAGAAAGAGCCCAGCAGTAAATTACACCTGCTCGACTGTATGGGATGGATCCCTCAGTACTATATGTGGACACTGTTTGAACACGAGGTGACATAAGGGTCTGGATGGGGTTAACGGAATAGAGAATTGTTGCAAAAAAAATGAATAGAGAAAAACGAGCAAAAAAATATAAAGAATAGAGAATAGTGGGGTGCAAAAGTGTTGTATACCCAAAATGGGTCTACCCTTTTATCACATTTACCGATAGCCTTTTTCGGTGTGCACGTTTATCGGTACATTAAAAAGAATAACAGAAATCACCCAAAATACTGGACAATACAAACCGCACTAACCATGCAGAAACATCCGACTAGCTCTCCCCACAGGCGTGGATATAAGTAGTGTTATGTATGTGTTATACAAATAGAATATTAATTGCAATAAAAAACAACCCATCCAAATCCTGTTTCCAAGCGCCCGAAAAAGAAACACACATACAAACAAAATCGAACAAAAACGAACAACACATTGTTCAGATAGGGACAGATAATCTGACTTGGTACCAAATGTTGTGGGGTTAAACCAGCTTTACGAGCGCACAAACCTACCCTTTTCCTATCTAGACCATATGTCGTATAGTAAAACACACAATAAAGATACTGCACAGTGCATCTAGCAATAGGATGCCCAAAAACTTGGAAAAGGAAATAAAAGACGCCACATAAATTGAGAAGGAGGGTCAAAGTGAGCTACTACATGAAGCTTGTTAAAGTAGCCACAGCTGTTGCTTGAATACTGCCGCCGCCAAAAATACAAATATAAAGCAGCAACACTCCTAATCTCATCATAGTTTTGGGTTTTTTTTGCGTCGGCAGTCTTTATGAGAGGCCAGTTAGTATTTAAAATCGTCATATCGGCATCAGCAAAAATAACAATTTTAACTGAATTAGTATGATGTATATCACTCACGCATAGCTTTGCTGTTGAAAGGTACATAAGAACTCTACTGAGTAAAACTATTTCATTTTTAATTGATTTAGTTCTTTCAACGGCCTACTGTGACCAAATAATAGGTAGGATGAGAAATAATGATAATTTTTACGAGAAACATACATTTACAGATAAACATTTTTCAAAGTATTTTGTTACTCTGTAAAGTATTTGTCATTAAGTCGACTGATCAGCACTATATGTATATGAACATATTCTAGCAAACCCTACAAGTTGTGAAATATGCATGCCATAGAATGCGGCAAGAGGAATATTACCGTCTTACATTGGTGGCAAAATTGAAATCGCGTCTGTTTTGTTGTATATTTTAGTTGCAATACTTTCTTTTCGTATCACTGATACATCATACGCCTAAAAACGGACAACATTAACTTGTATTATCAGTTCTGAAATACCTTCAGCATGTTTGATTAACTTTGGATAATCAACAGTAAGTACAACCAGAAACATATATATTATCACATGTCTGTAGTATTATATGTTTCTGGTACAACATTGAAAATGATAACATTACGTTTACTTTGTCAAGATTAATTTTTTTTTTATGAAAGAAGATTCATAACAGTTAAAGAAAAGATGTGCAGTCAACATTTATAGAAATTTTTTTTCCCCGAAAGATTGACGATATATAGTCGAAAAAAGCTTTTGTCAAGCAAGAAATTTAAAGCCTTAAACTGTCCATGGAGCTACTACATGATCAATAAAATTGAGCATGTTTTTTTTTTTTACTTCAGATGTTTTTATACTCCAAAAATGATTGACACCTGTGTTTTGATAGAGTTTATTGCAATACTGAATAATGAGGCTTTTAATGGTAGTAATTTTAGTGCACTTGCCAGATTCGTTAATTCCTTTTAATAGTTGACCAAAATGTGAATGAATGGATGATGGACTGCTGAATTTTTCTAGTGGTCCCAGGCGAATCTATGCTGCAAGAATAAAAAAAAATATACCAAAACACATAGTCCTATAGTAGCAGTCAGACTACTATTAACAGTAACATTACGAAAAAGTAAAATCCATAAATGTTCACAATGCTATTAACTTTATTGCTCATCCAATGATGGAAAATCGATTCCGGATAAATATAGAACCAGTCCGGTGGCCATTTTAAATTTATAATTAGCACACAACAGTGCTTGTTGCAGCAACAAGGAGCCAGGTGAGAAATATTAATGATTTGATTTCTTTGTTGTGTTTACAAATGACAGCATATGTTGTAAACACTCTCTGGATTTTAGCAAGTTTTAAGTGATATGGACATATGTACAGTTGACCCAGGAAATTATTAAACCTGTTTATTTAAATATTGACTGAGTCATAACCAAATTGTGACTTCTGGACTAATTAGTAATTTCAGGTAAATTAAACAAAGATCATTTAAGGTTATTCGTATACTTACTAATAATTTTGTAAAAAGTAGTTTATAATGAATGAAATAAATTAAGATAGTTGAGGAAGACTGAGAATACTTATAATAACACAGTGTAATTGTATATACATGAAATAAGATTTAAATTATTTGCATAGATAAGTGTAAAAAAAATAAAAAAATGACAATCATATCAGTTAACATACTAAAATATGGTACAAAAGATAAAATAAAAAAGGGAAAAAAAAATAATGTTAAAACTGTAGAAAAAATGGGGGGATAAAAAATTATGTGAAAACAAATCTTGGATTTTCTTGCAAAATCATAGATTTTGTAAAATCATGATAGGTAAATCTATATTTAAATGATTTTTATTGAAATTTCTAAAGTCAAACTGTCTTCCAAATGCCAATAGGGATAAGATAATCTTCACTTCTACAGTATACTAATTAATTGAATTTTTATAGATCCCATATTTCTATTGAAAGGTCATGAAGATGTTGGAGCAATAACTGAAAAAGCATTCTCCATTTGAAACATTACAATTATTTTGACAAGTAAAGATTGACACTCATAATTACATATTCTGCCTTATACATTAGTGATGGAGTTGTGGTTATACCAAAATCAAAGCTGTGTTTTTGAGTTGTTGGCCTGTGTTTTCAACTTTTGGTGTTTGGACCTTTTCACTGCACTTGCATTAATTTTTAGTTCAGTAGAAACTTACTTAAACAGTTCACATAAAGACTGCCGCCTTATAGTCTTGTAACCCTCCCATTAGCCTCATTTGAGCTGAGTAAAGGGATGCTTCAAAAATAATTTTAAAAGTAACCGTGAAATTAAGCCGGTATTTTATAATTGTGGTTCCAGATCCGGTCAAATATATCATGCGAGAATAAGAATGAACTGTAGTGGACTTAACAAACACCCTTATGACAGAAACTTGATACAATCCCTGAAGTGTGTTTGTGGAGACCCTGAAACAACGGAACACTATTTATTAAAATGCAAAATATTCAATGTACCTCGCCAAAGACACATTCACAACTTACAGATTCCAATCAAAATTTCCACTAATGTCTTACTTTTTGTCTCCGTTAGACTCACAGTAGAACAAAACATACTGATATTCAAAGCTGTGCAAAACTTCATTATAAGTATCAATCGATTCACATCCACAATCAAATAATTCTAATTAATCACTCCTCCCCTATATAAAAAATATTGTTTCATTCTTTAATAACACTCTCATTTTTCTAAAAACACCTTTCACCCCTTTCCTTTGCTATATATTTTTTTCTTATGAATTTTCCTTTTGTTATTGTAATCATTTTGTTACATATTTATTCGTTTGCTATTCAGCATGTATTCATAGCTTGTAATTTTATTTTCGAATTTAGGGAGACGGATTTATATAAGAGCACTACTCCTGTTTCCTAATCCCAATTATTGAATCTTTTGTATATTCAGATTTATGTCTTTACCCTTGTAGCTATATATTATAACGATTTCTTTAATAAAATATGTTTACATACAGGGATGCTTGTATCCATAGGGGTTAGTACAGCTAGAAGCCCATTATGAATATTTTGATGAGTCTATCTATAATGGAGATGTAATCCCAGAAGAAATTTATAAGTCCAAAATGTTTCTATAGACAACTAGAAATTTCCTTTGGGTTTTATTTTTAAATTTATGAAGAACTGATCTGAAGTAATTTTTTTTGTAATCAATCGTCATTCCTTTCAAATATCAGATATTTGATTGTTTCAGTAATATTGCAAATCTATATAAGCATTGAAATAACTTAAAATAATCATTTACTACTAGTGTTTAATGCCACTAACAGCACTCTTGGCTGTATCATGGCAGCCTGTATTTATTGATGTATGAAGCCTGAGTACCTGGAGAGAACCATTGACTGTCTGTAGTAAACTGGCAATCAAAGTCAATTCAGATCCAATAATTGATCTTGCATTTTAAACTTATAACATTTGTTTGCAGCATTTCCTGGAATCTGTTTGATTATTTTCTCATTTTTTTTCATTTGCTCAACAATCAATGACAATAGCATTAACAAAGGCACACTATAATTTCTTATAATAAAGAATACAATATTCTACAAATTCATGTAGGTTCATTTAGTTTGATATACTAATACCAGTATGTGTCAATGACATAAAGAACTTAAGGATTTATTAAATTATTTTTTTATTTACCATTAAATTTCTTAGAATATTAATTCCAATTTTCCCAAAAAGAAACTGCATCAGAATTTGTTTATTAATATGCAATGCCGGTACATGTATTTAATAGGCCCTGACCTTTGTACAAGTAAAATACTTATCATTTATGAAGTTCAGTGTCATTGACTTTGGAAAAAGGTACAGAAGAATAAGAGAAAATTTTATGTAATACTTGCACCTGAAAATAACAGAGAACAATTGCAGGAAAAAGTTGTATTTAGACTTTGGATTACATGTACCGATAGTCCTAGCTATGATTTTGATGGATATTTTTAGTACAGGTCTCTGTCTGTATGAAAAAGAAGGTTGCCATAGTAATTCTGTTACAAAATATAGTGAGTTAAAAATGTTGTGTCACTGTAAATTGCATTCTTAGTTAGCTAATGTGGAAGTTTAAGGGCTTATTATGGTAAAATCAGATTTTAGCTTTGGTTCTATAAAATGAATTAGGATTGTTTCCTGTTGATTTAGTATTGAAGCCTGGAGACTAATTCCTTCACAACAGTATGCATTTGACAGTTGATGAAGAGTTCATTGATATTTCAACACTTTGAGAATGGCATGTAATTAACAATTGATTTTCTTCTAGCCTATACTATGATGTATTATCTTAATCTGTGTTAGATATGTTATAATCCAAATACATCATTAAAGATAAATTGATCAGTTTTATTTTACCCTGAGGCTTACTTCTATAGTTATGATAAATCATAATTTGCATATATTTGGAAAATGGTTGTGTAACTAGCTATTATGCATCTTTAAAATTCTTCTTCAAATTGTTTTAATTAAGATTCATGACTTCATTCAAAATTTAAACAAAAGTCATCAGTATCTTTGACAAAGCCATTAATAGAAAATTAACTAAACTGAAATGTTTCTTAAAAAAAAATTACATTTTGCTTCTTTAGAAGTGCTTTGCATGGTTTACTCCTGGTTTGCCCACTTTTAATTATACCAATTATCTATTAGTAAAGAAAACAAAAAAGACAAAAGGTTTAATGAACATACAATTGTATAGTCTGTTCCAACTTAGGAATATAGTTTATTAGTGTTTTCTATATATTCAGGTATTTTTACATCGCGATGACCTTGAGGTCATTACGATGTATTGCTATCGCCTAGATTTCCATTATGTAAATTAGTTTTGGGTTTGTAACCGATCTATAAACATGATAAATATGCGCACATAAACGAATGCAAAATAACATTCCTTATCGTTTGATATAAATACATCTCTTCAATGAATACTGATAAAAATATTTTTGTTTACAACATAAATTAATAATATGAAAATGTTTTGTAGTTAGATATATATATATATAAGTAAAAAATCATTGATAATATCAATGCACACGTACCGAAAAATTGTGTTAAAGCATGCGGAAGAATATCTCAAAGAACGTTTTGAAGGACCGGTAACTCTGTAATTGTTTTTGCGGGAAAATATGAATGCCTACTCGTATCCAATGTTAGAAAACTCGAATTTTTACAGAAAAGTGTCCACCATGCACTTGCATTGCACTATTATTAGAATAGTAGAATAGAATGATATACAAATGGATGCAAATCATATATGTATGTAACTGTTATTTTAATATAATATATAACAACAAATCAGTGTATACTGATTTGTATCTGTAACCAATTGGGGGCGCAGTTGGGACTCTTGTCTTGGCTCCCTAAATGTTACGGGGTCATGATTTTATTTGTAAAATCATTAGAAAAACAATTAAACTATGACGGTCACCAATATCAGGAACTAGTTGTTGCAGTTCACGAAGATCCAACACATTCAAGTTATATAATTTAATTCCAAGCCAAAGTACTAATATAACATACACAAAGGACAATGTCAATATAATGTGACTCCTACTGTATCTTACTCAATGTTCTACACTTCTCTTACTTCTGATCGTACTTTAGTTTACAACAAATATTTATACTGAATATCGAAAATAGACAATACTCAATTAACATGACAATACTCAAATTAAAATGACATTTCATAACTTTAAGCTATAAGTGACAGCATTCACATTAATTAATATAAAAGATAATTATAATTTATAATACTCATATATAATCTCATTCTTTCAATAATTTTCACACCTTTAGTATGAATTAATGTCTTTCATATTAATTTCTGTTACTCAATAAATAAATCTGTCACAAACATTTGAAAATCATATGTCACTAATTAAGATTAACACATTATTTGTCTATACATGTAAATATTTGAATTTGTAAAATAATAAGTTTTCTAAAAGTCCAATTTCTAAATAAATGATAAAATTAGAATTAAGTCCAAATAAGCCTGGTGACAAATGGCTCCTCCTCAACAAAAACACGTCCTCGTGTTCCCGAAGTTAATAAAATCGTCCTCTATTGTTCCTACTGTTGTTACTAGAATGAAACGATTGTCTTTGATTATAAACATTCTGTGGTTGATTCCACATCTGCTGTTGTTGTTGTTGTTGTTGTTGTTGTTGCAATTGTCTTATCTGCATCTCAAGCTGTACAATCTTTATTTCATATTTTTCTCTTTCTTCTCTTCTTCCCATTGTTGATTCTTTAAATATATCTACCGTCTTTTGTAACTGATCATAATCTAGTTGAAGATCGATGTATATTTGATGGTTTTTCACTATATCATTATACTCTGCATCAATTTTACTCTTCTCTTTATGTTGTTGTTTCAATAAATCATTGTTGATTGTCATTATCCTTAAATTTTCTGCC